TAGGAAAATGAGTATTAAGTAGTGAACAACAATGCAACATTTACTTCATAAGATTATTCCTACATTTTCAGAGTGAGAACAGGTATACTGGCAGTGCAATTTACCTGCAGAAATCAGAGGAAGACAGGACTGTAACCCTTATGCCTACCAGGAAATCATTCCAAAGCTTTGTTATTCTGACAGCTTGATTTCCATACTAATCTTTTGATCAAATCCTTTAATTTCCATTCTAATGTTTCTTGTTCTTTCTCTTCAGTTATAAAAAAATTTCCCTTTTTGAAGTACAGACAAGTTTCATTAAGCACAGTTAACACAGACTACAAATTTCATGAGCACCTTCTACAACAGCACTGACACTTCCCTACCTCACACACAGAATCCCAGACTGGTTTGGGTGGGAAGGGACCTCAAAGCTCACCTTGTTCCACCCCCTGTCATGGGCAGGGACACCTTCCACCAGCCCAGGTTAATCCAAGCCCTGTCCAACCTGGCCTTGGACACTTCCAGGGATCCAGGGGCAGCCACAGCTTCTCTGGGCAACCTGTGCCAGGGCCTGCCCACCTTCACAGGGAAGGATTTCTTCCCAATATCCCATCCATCCCTGCCCTCTGGCAGTGGGAAGCCATTCCCTGTGCCCTGTCCCTCCATCCCTTGTCCCCAGTCCCTCTCCAGCTCTCCTGGAGCCCCTTTAGGCCCTGCAAGGGGCTCTCAGGTGTCCCTGGATCCTTCTCTTCTCCAGGGGAACCCCCCCAGCTGTCCCAGCCTGGCTCCAGAGCAGAGGGGCTCCAGCCTCAGACTCACCATGGCCTTCTCTGACTCTCTCCAGCAGCTCCAAGTCCTCCCTGTGTTGGGGGCCCCAGAGCTGGAGGCAGCTCTGCAGGTGGGGTCTCATGAAAGCAGGGGCAGAGTCTCCCCCTCCCCTGCTGCCCACACTGTGGGATCAGCACAGCACAGGGAGGGTGTCTGGGCTGCCATGGCAGGGCACTGAGCTTCTAATCAACTAACACCTCCAAGTCCTCCTCCTCAGGGCTGCTCTCCAACCATTCTCTACCCAGCCTGTGTATGTGCTTGGGAGCGCCCCAAATTATTACACATCAGGTACAGTATTCAATCTTTTCACTAATTTTTGAACAGTTGTGTTCCTGGTGACTGACAGTCACCCTGTGCTCAGCCAACATACTTGTGTATCTGTTCTCTTATTTCTGAAAATAAACTTGTGTCCTTTTACTTTTGAATAGTTACTTTATGGCTTGAAGTAGTTGCTGTTCTTTGTCCCCATTTTCCATCACACACTTCTGCATTTTATCTTGTTTTTACCATTCTGGTTTTCATATTATACCAAAAGGACCAGATAATTCTCTGTCCTCTATGCTGACCACAATTATGTCACCAATGAGTATTGTGGTTGCTTTTTTCAAGGTAATTAATAAAAACCCCCAACACTAATAGGGTCAGCCCACAGACTATTCAACTGCTATTCCCTCCTCAGAGTCAATTCCCTAGAAATTCATGTTCTTGTATGAATCCCTCTATTGCTTCCTAAAATGATTATTTTCTGTGTGCCCTGTAACAGTCTTGAACAGAGCTGGCCCATCTGAGGGTTAGCCTTTGGCACACACAGCACTCTGCTTTCCTGAGGGTCAGCCTTTGGCACACACAGCACTCTGCTTTCCTGCAGGGAATAATTAGTCCCTTCCCCACACAGTCGAGCAGGTGATGCTCAGATTTTCCCGCAGCAGCTGCATCCGTGGATTTCCTGGCCTTATAGAAGGCATCAACTGCTTACAACAACCAGTAATTAAATATTTACAAGGGACATCACTGAACAAAACCAAGTTCCAGCACAGGTTTTTAAAACATTAAAACAGCTACAAGCAAAGAAATCTTTCAGTGTGTTTCCTTGCTTTCACCCCCTCATGCTGCACAGGCCAGGCCACGTCTGTGCTGTGTGTCTGGATGGTTCTGTGAGGAGCTGAACAGATTATTGCTGCCCTTGGTGGCAAACCCTCCACTGCAGAACCACAGAGCAATGGGAAACAGCAGGGACAGATGATCAAAAACAGAAAGAGAAGCCCAAGCTGAGGTCAAGCCTGGGAGGAACACACTGAGTAACAACAACAAACCCTTTTGGAAAAGGAAGACAAGGCCATCAACGCTTTGGGATGTGATGGTGGCTACAAGGGCGAGTCACAGCACTGAAGCTGCACAGAGCAGCTGGCAGGATCTCCACCCCAAGACAAAGATTCCACGCTGACATTACAGCACCCACATGCAGCTGAAGCTCAGAGCCTGACTGCAGTAAGTCACCCAGAGAAATTCTGAGTTGTAGCTATTAAGGACATAGACGGGATAGCTTTAATTCTGTTGTGTTAGTTCAAAATTAGGTCAATTCCTTGGGTTTCTAAACACAGACTCAGAAGCCTAAATTTAGCCACACCTCAAAATTGTGGCCTCTGTGACTACTGTACACACCTTCATGCCTAACTTCAAGGACAGGGTGGAATTTTCAGAACTCTGGAGCTCATCTCCAGAAATCTGTGTAAAAGCATTGCCAGGAATAGCCAGTTCTTGGCTCAAGGAAACTGAAGAGAAACAATTGCTGCTTTTAAAACAAACTATTTCAAATGTATGTCCATTCCAGGGCAAGCCTGACGTCCCCACTACTGGCGTGTCAAGACAGAGTAAAGAAATTCAGAATTCCAAATGCAAATTACACCAGGACAAAAGGAGAGGCAGGCAGTACCCATTAAATATCTGATGGTACTTCAAATCCACACACCAGAATCCGCACCTCACAGAAATCACTTTTACCCTGTAAAATCAACCCAGAAGGTTTGCCAAACTCTTAATAAAACTAGGATATGTAACTGTTGTCTAAAGACATTTTCTAATCTCATGGTATGGCTAAATTTTAATGCATAGGAAGCACTAGCAACATCTTTGTTCCACCTGTAAATGCACAGCTCAAATCTGTAATATTTATGGAGCAGTTACAGTACAGGCATAAACAAGTCCTGGCATCAACAAGTACTATTCAGATGGCAACCACTCTTTGTCATCTGTCTTGAGCAAGTTTAACTGCTGGAAACACAAGGAAAGAAAGCACAAATATTTTACAGGCTACAAAGAAGTAACATACAACAGCACAAAAACTAAACCAAAGCCACAACTTAAACCTGATAAAAGCTGTGAATTTCAGTGCAGAAGCCTTTTCTGGAAATGGGGCATTCAAACACTAGGGAAGAGGTACAATGATGGAGGCAAACCCCAAAAGCATGGGGAAAAATTTATAGGCAAGGAAAAAAAACTATTCCTTTTGATTATATCCAAAGCATTAACATGAAATATATTCTACTTGTTTTGCAGACTGTAAAGATAAAGCAGAAATAAATCAATCCCGGATGGGAGAGCTCCTTGCTCCTAGAGGGACAGGCTGTGGACACCACAACACGGCGGCAGCAGCACAGACCATCAGACACTGCCCTGCTGCAGCTAAAGCCACAAAACAGGTACCTGAGGAAGCCCTCACAGGTACAGGTTACAAGCCTCCCCTTTAGATGAGATCTCTTTAGGAATTCTTCTGCAATACCCTCCAAGCCACTGAGACTGAGCATTTCACCAGCTGTTCCATCTACAGCTTTCAAAGGCACAAGATGTTCCAATTTACCAGGGAATATTATATATACAATCACTGTTGTATAAAAACACTAAGAAAAAAATAAAACAGATGATACTTCAAATTTCAAGCTGAATATCCAGAATATTTTTTTGGCTTTACCTACTCTATTGTGTCATCACCTTATGGAAGACCACCACCCTTCCTCATGAAGATGTTTGTTGCTGTGTGTGTTCAGCACAAACAAGATCCTAAAATACACGAGGAATCCTTTTCCACGAGGGGGTTAAATGGCTTTACCACCTAAAGCAGGCACTCGTAAACCAGGTCAAAATTAGAAAGGATGCTTGCTCTGCGTGCACGCAGAGGGCACTGGCACAGAGCACTGAGGGACCAGCGCGGGCAGGGCAGGGCAGGGCAGGCGGGCACACAGCGGCTCTGGGCAGGGCAGGGCAGGCGGGCACACAGCGGCTCTGGGCTGCGATGCTGTCCCTGCCCAGGCCACTGAAACACAACCGCGCCCGCCCCGCGGCTCGGGCAGAGCCCCCGCAGCGAGATCGCCCCGGCCACGCACACCGGCACCCACAGCGAGAGCCACGGGCCCGCTCCGCGCCTGCTCCCGCCAGGAGCCGGCCTGGGCACTTCCAGGGATCCCTCCCTTCCAGGCATCCCTCCCTTCCAGGCATCCCTCCCTTCCAGGCATCCCTCCCTTCCAGGTATCCCTCCCTTCCAGGCATCTCTCCCTTCCAGGCATCTCTCCCTTCCAGGCATCCCTCCCTTCCAGGGATCTCTCCCTTCCAGGGATCCCTCATTCCAGGCATCCCTCCCTTCCAGGCATCCTTCCCTTCCAGGGATCTCTCCCAGGGATCCCTCATTCCAGGCATCCCTCCCTTCCAGGGATCTCTCCCTTTCAGGGATCCCTCCCTTCCAGGGATCTCTCCCTTCCAGGGATCCCTCCCTTCCAGGGATCTCTCCCTTCCAGGGATCCCTCCCTTCCAGGGATCCCTCCCTTCCAGGCATCCCTCCCTTCCAGGCATCCCTCCCTCCCTTCCACGGCCCCGCACCCGCCCCGGCCTCAGGCCCGCTGCTCCTCCAACACATCCTTCAGCCTGACTTCTTCACTCAATACAGTAAATGACCCGGGCTGGTTTCAAGCTGGCGGATTCCCCGCAGCACCTGACCCATCCCCTGAGCAGGATATTTAATTTGAACCACACCGCGTGTTCCGCCCGAGCCCCGGGAACAGCCCCGGCCCCGCGGGGCAGGGCCCGCAGCGATGCCGACGGCGGCCCCCGCAGGGCGGCGCTCCCGCCCGGGCCCCGGCGGCCCTGCCCCGGCTCGGCGGTCCCCGGGGCGCTGTCCCCGCCCGGCCGGCCCCGCTCACCAGCTCGGGCACTCGAACAGGGCCCCTCCGCCCGCCGGGGCCGCGCCCGCCGCCATCTTGGCTCTGCCATTCAGCCGCGCGCGGCACCCTGGGAAGGGCGCGCTCCCGGCGGGCCCCGCGCGCAGCGGGCGGGGCGGGGCCAGGGCAGCGATGGGCGGGGCTTAACGGCGCCCGTGGACCCGCCCCCACCACTGGCCCCGCCCTCGGCGCTCGCGCTCAGAGGAGCGGCCCCGACAGGGACAGCGACAGGGCTGGGGAGGGGACAGGGACAGGGCTGGGGAGGGGACAGGGACAGGGCTGGGGAGGGGACAGCGACAGGGCTGGGGAAGGGACAGTGACAGGGCTGGGGAGGGAACAGGGACAGGGCTGGGGAGGAGACAGGGACAGGGCTGAGCCGGGGCCGTGCCGGCGACAGGGACAGAACTGAACCAGGACCAGGAAAAAGCCTCAGAGCCCGCACGGCCACCACGGGCACCAAAGAACGCCCATCCCTGCCCGGCTCACGGCCGGAGCCCCCCCGAGTGCGACCTGCGACTCTTGGATCGGCGGAATACCCTTCCCTGAGCCGGGCTCACCGCACAAGTCGGGCGGTGCCGATGGTGAGTCCTCACGCACAGGAACAGCAGCCAAGGCTGTTAAAAACGGCGTCTGCAGCAGCTCTGCTGCCCCAGTCACTGAGGTGCAGAGGGCAGGGAGTCAGGCACTTACAGCAAACCCGAGCCCAGAAACCTGGACTAGTGTCCCCAACTCCAGTTTCCGGAGGACTAAGGCTAGAGGAAGGATGGAGTCTACAAATAACGCACCAATGCTCCCTTTTAGGCTCGGTGAGGAGGAAAGTGCTCTCATTCTCACACAGCAGTGTGACAACCCAAGGACTCTGCCCTGCAGCAGGCAGGCACAGACCAGCAATATTGTGTGTCCACATGAAAGGAATTATGTGTTTTCACCTACGAATCAGGACCACTGAACTAAAGCTGCAGGAGACACACCGTGCTGATGTAAAGTCTTCTACTCTGCTTACAGAGGGAACTGCAAACACATCTGTGCCAGTATCTGAAGTGCAAGAGAAAGGAGCTCTGACAGAGGCTTTTAAAAGTGTTTATTGATGATTATTAGACGGAATGATGGCGCAATAGTGCAAACCACTGTGCAATTGGGAGAACACTCCCTTCCCAGCTTTCACATTTACTTTATTATAGAGGAGACATGGAATAAAGATAAATACAAAATGGGTCAGTATGCTGCATTTACTACACTCCCTTGGGCTTTGGACAGATTACAGTTCCCTCAGTGCATGTCAGTTCAGAGCTACACAAAGTGCGGAGTGGCTGCTGTGTTCTGCCCAGCTCCATGAGCTGGAATCAGCAATCTTTTTCATTTGCACACACATCCTCAGCCTGAAAATCCTAGCACCTCACTCAGCCAGTTTCTATTTCATAAAGAATGGAAAATACCAGACAATCACAAGCCACACATAACATTTACTGACACACTACAAATGCGCTTCAGAAGTACTTCTTCAGAAGCAAGGTTTCTGCTAACACTCATCTAACTTGCTAACTTGTAAACTTAGGTGCCCACTTCCTCACCTTTGTGTGATTTTCTTCCTGGAAGCTTCTAAAAACAACTGGGAGTAGCAGCTAAACTTTGTATACCTAGTGCTTGAGAGTCAGCATTGGAAGAGATTTATTTGCCGGCTAATAAACAACCAGATAGTTTGTCTAAGGAAGCTGCATTGTTAGAGTGTAAGTCAAAGAACATTCTGTCCTCAAATGATGCCTTTTGGGAAAAACCAACCCACAACCACACTTGAAAAATTAAACAACACAGTTACAAGTCTCAAGGCTAAACTGACCTTTAGCACGCAGTGGTTCCAATCATCATCCACGCAAACTCTCCTTGCCTTTGGAATCTGTAACAACATCTTTCTCTTCAAGAGAATCTAGAACCACAGCCACTTGGAGACAATAAAACCATGGGGCAGATAGTGGAGACTTTAGAAACTGCTGGGTTTATGTAATGTGACTTGGTGGTGTGCTGTCTTTCTATGTCATTCTCATTCCAGTCCAACAAAGTTACCTACATACACAAAATGTTAAAGTTGTGCCAGTTGTCAAAAACAAGACATCTCCAATTATTGATCTCACTTCAGCATACAGTTGGGACAGGGAATAATACAATACAGAAAGCAAAACCACAAGGTTTTAGTTACATAAAACAATATAATTTGTATATAAACTGACAAATACTGTCTCCATGGTTCACTAATTCCAAATACTAGTTATCTGCACATTAGTTGCTAATATCTATTACTAGAAGTAGTTCCAGCTCGTGCTCTCAGGGTGGGCAATTCATCTCCAAGACCTGTCAGCTCGTTGGTTCCGAGAGAAGAAAATCTCAGCAGTGAGATTGGGTTCCATGGGAAGATTTCATTTGCTTGTCCCCCAGATAATCAATCCTATGATTAGACAGGCCACAGCAAGGCCAAACATCAGGATACAGATCTTCTTACGGGATTTCTTCTAATAAGAGAAGAAAAAAAAAAAGCCACTGACACCAGAACAGTTGACAAGAGAAAAAAGCAAGGCCACCATTCCTGTTACTAACTTTGGTGAACCAGAGCACTTGGCACCCACAGTTACTCAAGAGAAGTAACCAATGTAGTCTGAACACTTTTACGTGTTCCTTTAACTGCATGATTCAAGAGATGAATGGTTTTAGTTTTAGGAGTGCAATGGTCAAAGAGATGCATTAAAGTCGTAACGTGACAGGTTTTGCTTCTCTTAAGGAAAATACAAGGCTCAGAGAAAGCCAAACCTTTCCAGCTATTGAGGTTTTTCAGGTAAGCCTAATCAACCTCCCAAGTAGTTCTCTGATACAATCCCCCCTTGGCCACTTAGGCTTGGTGTTGCATTTCTACAGTTTGAATGATTTCACATACAGTTACTGTACTTGGATTTTGCAGCTTTGCTCACTTTATTCATCACAGGAAACTACAGTCAACCCACATACACCAAATATTTTTAACTTGGCATCTAAGGATTTGAAGGTAGTTCTATATAACCACTTCCTTCTCCACCCAGAAAAAACACATCCAAAACATGTCCAATAGCTCCCAAACTTAAATTTATGAACACCCCAAAACTTTGTAAAGGAAGCCATGGAGAGAGACAATACCATTAAATGCTGCCAGATGGTCAAAGCTACTTTTCTTCCCTGCACTAAACAGCGCTGGAGTTTTATTGCTTTCCAGTACCTCCCACTTAACAGCTTGGAAGAGTGCATTATTTCTTTCTCTTGTGTGGAAGTCTGAAGTCCCAGCAGTGACTAAGCAGAACCCTTACTCCCTCACAGAACCTGGACCTACAGGGACAAGGGTGATGAAAGGAACCTACAGAAAACATTGCTTGTAAAGCAACAATGAGAGCCACTGCAAGAGACCTGGTGGGACAGGTAGGGCAGACTCTGGCAGAGAAACTCAGCAGAAGGAAAGGAGAGCTGCAAATCCTAGTCACCAGAAGTTTCCCAAGTCTGGGCATGGATTTTTGCATGCCAGTGTCTTGGCTAATACGTTTACAAGTTGGATACAACATAAGAATTTGTTCTTGTTTGTTCTGCTACCTCCTAAGAACAACAAAGACAGGTAACTACTTAGTCTTGCAGAGCACATTTATATGAAGGGACAGACTGTCTCCTCTGAAGTAGAAGGTGAATTTCAATACTATGTTTTTGACTCAAATGCTTTGTATTATATTCTTTGCAGCCAATTTTGAATGAGTGCCAGCTTGCACAAGCTGGCTTTAATAACTAGTTTGGTGTGCTGCAGGCCTCAGTATGTGTCTTGCTCTGCCTGTTCCATTATTGCTCAACTATACCCTGACAATAAAACAAGCACACAGAATTTACCTGATAATAGGCAGCTCTCTGTAACTGCTCACTGGCTCTTTCCACATGAACTTCTGCACTTTCCACATTTGCCTCTATGCTATCTATGGAAAAAAACAAGAGAACTCACTGTAAAATATTTCAGGGCTTCAGTGTTTAAAAATTATAACCAGAAATGCAATACTTTTAACGCAAAAACTGGAAAATTTAAACTATATAGGCAAAACTTGTAAGTGAACTAAGAAGAAACTTATTATCCAAATGCACTTACCAATCATATCTCCTTGGTCATGAATCATCATGGCTAAATCCTTAAATATCTGATTGACATCCAAAATGTCTGCCTGAAGACAACAGTTTAACAAGTTACAGCAAACACTGGGTACAATTTTTCTAATCCTCACTCAGTACCTCTTCTGAGGTACTCAAAAGGTCAGAATAGACACCAGCATTCACTGACTGAGGTGGCTTGAAGTTACTGTCTGTGCAACTGGGGATTAACACAGGGGCCTACAATACTCCTGCTACTGAATATTTGTTTCATGCCACTCGCAATTAACCCAGTATGGAACTGAGATGATCACTGTAACATGAGTTGCTCTGGCCATGTCTGAAGGACCACCAGTGAACACTGAAGGCAAATATATCTCCTTCAACAGGAGCGGCGAGATTGATCTTGGCATCAATCCTCTCTACAAGGAACTCTGGTCCTCCACATCCAGCTCTCCTCAGCCCATCCCTTTAGTTAGCACTGCACTCCTTTGATTTATCTCCCAATACTGTTAACTGGGCAGGATCTACTGGTCACCTCTAATTGCCTGATTGCAGTTTCTCTTTCTTTAATGAGTTCAAGGTCCTGTTCAGTTATTGCCACATCTTCTTCCTGAGACTGCATTTGATTCCAATCTTCACCACTGCAAAGAGAGGGAAAGACAGTATGACTCTCTCTGACTATAGGTACATCCACGCTGCATTTATAGCAAAGCACCAGTGAGTTAAAATTGAAGAGTTTCCTACAGAACAACCCCCAGGTTCTTGGCCCTTGCATTGTGCACAGGGATAGGACTAATTTGTGACAATGGTCATAAACTGGAACAACTGAAAAAAGGGACAGACCAGGCAAAGTGAAGAAATTGGAAAGCAGTTACATAGAACGCTCTGTGACAGTTATCTACAGCATTAGAGAAGAAACCTGCTTACTTCAGTTCTGCTTTTTTTTAATACTTGTACCTTCCTTCCTTCTTAGTATTTCCCCAAAAGGAAGAAATCAGGGTAAACATTTTGGTAGAGAGCAGCCTGCAAGCACATTATCAGAACAAAAGGACACCTGATAAGTGTCTGACAAAGACTCTTGCTTGCTATCTGGCATTGGGGATAAGATTTAAGTGTTTTAGTATTTTAATTCATTAGTCTAGTAAGAACTTCAAATTAAATTACACACCAAAAGAGATGTTAAAACCCAGTAACTCTGCATCCCAGTCTACCTCTCTCCTGATGAGCTGGTTCTTCACAACTGCTGCAGAAGTTACACCAGTTATAGTGCAGCCAGCACCTATAACACAAGGCCATCTCTATGTTCAGCTTAGAAAGTTCTTCAAGGGCAACATCTCCATCTTTTCAATAGAGAACTGTGCCAGGAAGCACTATTCCATTCCAGTGTTTGGAAGACAGCACTAAATAGTAAATTTTAAAGCCTCAAAGTGCCTAAAGAAATGAAGATAAACTACATGAGTGGGTCATGTAGCTGACCATTCCAGCAATTCAGCTCTGATGTGACTGCAGGGTTTGCAGATCTTTAAAGCAGAAGTTTCTGGCACGTAGCACACAGGAAGAGCTTTGAATGTGCAAGAGCTGCTGAGTGCCACCATCTCTCACTGGGCTAAGAGCTCTGCATGAACAGGTACCTGTGTGGGTCCCACTGCTTTAGTGTGCAAGGCCTTCCAACTCACCCCAGCCCCTGCATAACTGAACAGCCTGGGGCTTCACCCCGACTCTGTGGGAGAGCCCAGGGCTAATGAAGGGATGCACAACAGGCAGCTGAGCAATGAAGGGCAGTTTGCAGGGGGAGGATATACAGCTGAGACAGGTAAGCAAAGGCTCTTGACTCAGAAAGTGAAAGGCTTTATCCAGACAGGCCCAACAGATTTCAGCCCAGTTGACACAGTAACCACAGGCACTTCTGGAGGGTCCCTGCTTCTCTTTGCCACACTGGAGAGTTGATGTAACACTTTACAAAGCTATGTACCATGCAGGCACACTGTTACTGCAGAAGAAACACAACTGTCTGACAGGTGACAGTAACGCTGTCTTGTTGTGCATGTTCTAGGATTACACTGTTAGTACCTAATGTCCAGGGCTTCTGAATTTTAGGCGGCCTAATCTGCTACTCTGCATGTATCTAACTGGGCTGCTGGAGAACACCCAAACCCATGAAATAAATATGCTGCTCTCTGTGGAAACAGTCATAGTGAGTGAAATCCTGCCTGGTAATTTTGTGCTTACAGGCCAGAAGACCAGGAGCTCCAGATGCCACATCCTAAGGACAGTACAATTCCCCTCAGGGTAGTAATCACACTATCCATATTTAAGGAAGATAAAATACTGTCACATGCAGTTAGTTTTCTACATTGTATATTACATGTGGTGTAGTAATTGCTTTTCAACTCTTTTTGTTTTGCATTCAGCCAGCAGAGTCTGGCCCAAGTTACAATAACAGATCTTACCATAAAAACTTCAGTTATTTGTAGTGAAAACCTCAAGAGTACAAGAAGTTATTACCTATCAAATGAAACAAGCTGTTCTTCTCTGAACCGTTCATCAGCCTGGAAGAGATAAGTGAGTCATTAGTCTCATAGACTACCAGGACCGCTCACAAAATCACCAGCAGCATCTTGAAGACCAAAGCACGTACTGTTCAGAGAGTTCTTGGAGAATCCCACTGTCACTGCAGATTTAACTTTCAGATTTAGCTTTCAGATTTAACTCAAGTTAGGTAAGATTAGATTTAGCTTCATATTCACATTTAACTTTTTAGATTCAGATCGTCTCTGCAAATCAGAGGCAACTGAATGACCAAAACTAGCCAGATCAGCTGTCAATGTTTGTCACTTCCTTTCCCAACACAAAGCAAAAAACTTAGAGCATAATCCAACAGATAAATGTGTTCCCTTGCAGACATTAAGAATGCAGAGCTAACACAAGGCCCCGAGGCAAGAGAAGGGAAATGCCTCCATTGGCTTCTTTATTATGAATTCTTAGTAGCCACAGGGGTTGTCAAAACATAAGAGGCTAAAGGTTTGAACACACACTGGAGATATTAGCAGGACAGAAGCTATAAGAATACAAAGCACCATAGTGTGAGATTTAAGGTGTAATTTAAGGTGTGGTAAGCTTCCATTTGAACTCTTAAATTTTACAGCCTAGGGCTGACACCAAGTGGAGAGCAGCCTGCAATACTTTGCTGTTCACTGTACTTTGACTCCCCATCTCATCCTCCACTGCAACTAGCAGGATTCCTTCCCTCCTCTACATCGACAAGGAGCACACTGAAACGAGAGATTCCTTACAACATCTGCCGTGGCAAAACCAATACACCGAGGGCTCAGCTGCACTCAGTGAGGTGCCAGCAGACAGACAGCAGGTTGGAAGGCAAGCGCAAGATGTCTCAGAAGACTCATTGTTCCCAAATTCCCATGAATACTCACAGAGATCCGGGAGCCAGCTCTCGCCCTTGCCACAGTCTCCTTTTCCTTCTCTGAGACTCTCCTCTGAACTGCCTGGAAGTTATTTAAGGCCGCGGAGAAGTCATTCATTAATCGTTCCTTCTGAAGCCTCTGTTGGCGCTGAGGAATTGAAACACAAACAACTGTTCAGACATTCCCATTCATCAGAAAGTAACTGTCAGGCTCTCAAAACCCCACCACAATAATAACAGTGAATACTGGCATTCAGTGATCTTTTGGTTCCAACAGTCTGGGGCACTGGAGAGAACACAAAGCCCGCCAGGTTTTAATTCCTATTGCAAATACTCCACGCCTTGCCCACTGCAGGCCAGTTTTGTGCAACAAAGTCCTCCAATTTCAATCTGGTTCCAAGTCTGGAGCAGAGAGGTCTTCTACACCTTTACTTTTATTCAAATCACATTCCAATAATCCACCACATTTCATTATGAACCTTTGGGTTATCTACAACTCTTTTAGCCTCCATTCCATTACTCAGCCAACTTCTTACCACACTCTCCTGTCTCTCCCAGCCACGCCACACTAGATGCCTGCTGTTATTAGATCAGAAAACATCCTTAGTCCTGATAACCACTTCAGTTTATTTTTTCTCCAAATACATTAGTTGCAACAATGCTTTCCATCCTTAATTTACAGTGTCAACTTGTTTAGCTTCCACAGAACATGTCCTTTGAGTTTGAGACATCCCAGAGATGGGAAACGAGTAGTTGTGGAAAAGCTTGTCCCAAGGACTCTCAACACTAGGTCAGTCCTTATGTTTTCTGATAGAGAGATTTGCAACAGCTGGTTCAAACTGTGGGCTTTCCAGGGCTGTAATCCTGCACTGAGCTTGTATCAATTCAACACTCAGTTCAAGGAAATAAATCTTTTCAATTATATTTTTTTCTGTAATAAGCCACTAGAGCATCCTCATAACACACTACAGCTTCCACCTGAGCCCTCTGAAGCAACGACCCTTGTGCCAGAGCAGACCCTCAGCATGCTGTGCTCCAGGTCCTGCAGATTTTGACTGAATTTTCCCTGGGCTGCATTCAGTGAGATGCACATGACAGGATTTTGTTCACCACAGGAAGATTAACAGAAGAATATTTGCTGACCAAACCAGCAAAATGTGGCCATGCTTCCAACCAGCATATAAACGTTTAAATACAGAAATAGGCCAAAACAACATCTGCTGACCCACATCCCCAGATCATCCCACAACAGCATCACAAAAGCACGTAGTGGTGGATTAACATGAATAGCACAGGATTGTCCCCCCCCTCTCCCATAGGGAGGGTGAACTCGAATTACTATTTGCTAAAAGATAAAATCATAATCTTTGCCTTGTTATATTTTGCTTTATTCAAATATGAGCAAGGTGAGTCAGCTTCTCCCCTTCCCCCACCAATAAATCACATGCAAGGGAAAGCTTTCTGGCATGATCACATTTCATACTGACAGGCAGTTTGCTCTGAGCTCTTATCCTAAAACACTGCCTTGCACCACCAGGTACTTTGTAAACAAGATTATTTTTCAGAAATTTACTCAGAAAACCAGAATTGCATACTAACCTCTCCCTGAACATTTAGGGTCTCTTATTCTCATGTGAGAAAGTTTAATACTTATTTGCCCCTGGGAAACAGTGTTTTTCCAGTGTCATATACGCAGCCAGTTTAATGAGTTTCCCTACTTCACTTCAGCTGTGCCAGTTCAGGCTCTGGGAGGTTGTGGTCCATGCTAATTTCAAAAAATGAGTGATCTAGAAATATGCCCAGAAAATTCTGCCTGCCTACCTGTTCAGAAGCAGACAGGGGGAGTGGCAGAGACCCCAACTCCTTGAGATATTCATTGGTCTCTTTGGCAAGGCGGTTTGCAGAGTGCTGCAGCTGTTGTCTGAAATAAAAGTTCAAAAGCGGTTACACAAGTTCTACCTAAAAAGCAGTCTCTGAGCATTTTAGTGTCCAAAATGATTACTAAATAAGGGTTCTGAGATCACACAGCTTTACAGTAGGTTTTTTTTCAACCTAAAGGATCAGAGAAGTATGTTTAGTTTTTCATATCAACTTGACTCTGGACTACATTTTTAAAAAAATATTCAAATAATTTCTGTGCTCTCTGCTAACTAGTATAATTCAGTGGTTTAAAAAATATTTTTTTCTCCAGTTGCATAAGAAAGAAACAACTTTGTTCAGTGAACATAATCCCTCTCTCAGGGTGAATTCCTTGTGGTACCAATTAGTAATTAACTGTTTACTTAACAACCGCCAACTCCATAGTACAGGGACTCTGAAATATTAAATTCTTCCTTCTTGTGAAAAGTAATGGTCAGAAAGAGGAATGATACATCATCTACTTCAGGAATTGCAAGGCTTTCCCTTGAGCCTTTATGTTTTCCAACCACGTTACAATTTGAAGTTTATTTATGCAAAGTGCCTAATCCACAAAAACTACACTGTAAACCAGGATGACACAAAATGCTAAACCAAGAAACTATTTATCTTGCATTCAATGGGTACAAGATGCTAAAAGAAAGTCACATACTCAGCCAACAGATATGTAAATTGAGGCATTCAGGCTCCGTTATTTTCCAAGCTGTACATGTGAGCTGAATAAACCATCTCTGTATTTTGGTATTAAGTTTGTATGGCAGCTGACAATTTGTGGGGTGCAGCCACTCTGACCTCAAAGGGTAGAGATTATGACACTTCTACAGTGACATTAAATGGAAAAGCATTTGTTTGGCCATCAGTGATTAGTTCTTTAATCTACCGATTAAATAGAGATTGAGTCAACTGAGAAGCTCAAGGAAGCAAATCCCTTTCTCTCCTAACTGGGCTCTGATCTCATCCTTCAGATGTGGTGTATGCACCTTCCACCACAAGTCATGAACTTATCCAAAAAATCAGCTATTATAAAATCCAGGTAAGTTGTGCATTCAGAAATCCAAGGTACAGTCGCATGAAGAGAGAACAGAAGAACCGACTTCCAAGTTTTCTTTGATGACCCCCTGGAAATTATTCTTTTTATAACTTGCTATTTATGCTCTATGAATTTGTGAAAGATGCACAGACACAGAGAGTCCCTGTTCAGTCTCTCCAGGAGTCAGTTTGGACTACACCTGTTTAAACATCATCTACTTTGTCCCCCTCTGGCACATCATTCTTCTGAAATTACATGTGACATTTTGGCTGCCACATAGGATTGCTAATCTTTCTACCGCCTAAATCCATCTGTACTACAAACTACTCTTTCACCATAATTATGGGGATTCACTGATGTTTTTCCTTACTGGTCTCATGTGAGGACCAAGTACCTCCTATGGCATTCATTTCTTCTACGCCACAAATGAAGCTCCTGTGGCTGCTCCTCAGAGCACAGCCAATGCTAATGCATGGCTGAGGTACTACTACTTTTAAAATAAACTATAGAAAAGCTATATAGAAGAACAGTATAGATCCATCCCCATCCAGCAGTTTGGAATGGCTTCATCAGAGTCCTGCAGAAACACTTTAATTTGTCCAGTAAACGACTTACTGCGGCTACTCATTTTGGGTTTGTAGGACCGTACTAAATGTATCTCATAAAGCATTTCCCCACAGCAAGTAACCCAGTTCCTCTAAGAATACAGAGAGAAATCAGAGGACCTATACCAGTGTTTGCTCATTAAATACTTACAAGTTCTCCTGAAGCTTGCTGGAATCCTGCTTAGTTCCCAGCTGGCTCATCAAATTCTTTATCTGAGCAGCTGAAGATAAAGAGATCACAAGATGAGTTAGTAAGACAAGTTCTAATGTATTTGATTCCTTCTTGAATGTATTCTTTCAGCTTTAAAAGGATTTATTTCAATGTTGGACTTAAACTAGTAAGACAACACTTACATTCTTTGCTTTAAATATATACAAGTATCTTAAAAGTAAATGCCAAGAGGATGGGGCCCAACTCTTCCCAGTGGTGCCCAGTGACAGGACACAGGGCAACAGGCACAACTGAAACACAGGAATTTCCATCTAAACACGAGGAAAAATTCCTTAGCTGTGAGGGTGACAGAGCCCTGGAACAGGCTGCCCAGAGAGGCTGTGGAGCCTCCTTCCCTGGAGATATTTGAACCCTGCCTGGATGCCATCCTGCACAGCCTGCTCTGGGGGAACCTGCTTTAGCAGGGGTTGGAGCAGATGAACTCCAGAGGTCCCTTCCAACCCCAGCTGTTCTGGGATTCTGTGAAATGCAAAGTGTATATTAAACATCCCTACCTAGACATGATTCAGCCTAACAAACTTTCAGATAAGAAAGTGATAGTGAGGCACAGATAGCTCCAGAGACTTGTCTTCAGGGTTAAACATTGTGCTCTCCTCTTCCTCGACCTTTTTAGACCAACAGCTTCACTATGCTGCATTGCCACTTTTACATATCTTTAAATCACTTAAATTATTACAACTCTGTTAAAAAAAAAAAAAAAAAAAGAAAAAAACCAACAACCAAGGATTGGTATCAGTTTCCCAAAACACCCAACCAAGCTCTAATTTTTCTACTCATGATAGCCCAAACCTTTCACAATACTGGCCCAAACAATCTTTCGAGAACAGCAGATAGCAATGTGCACTTCACAGGTGGCTTTCATCAATTTGAAATCATGTTGTAGTGCAAGTTCAAGACCTTCTTCTCCCCATCTCTTGTGTTTTTCCACTATTTTCCTTGTGTAGGCACGAAACCACACAACAAATCACATCAAACCATTAACTTACCTAAAAGACAAGTAGCATTTTCTCTCCCCACTCCCTCTACCTTAAAATACTTTTTTGACAGAACAAGAAGCTGCTCCACTTTACTCTGCAGCAGCACAGTTTTTATCATTACTGAAGTGCTGAGCTCAGCACTTACAACAGCAGCACAAAGATTGATCAGCTCAAATCGATCATGAAATCATATGTTATCACATCACCACTGAGAGGTAAGACCAAGGAGGGTCACTCTAATACAGTTCCACAGACAGCTGTACTGAATTACCCCATGAGTTTAACAAGAGAATTCTTCCAATTCAGTGACATCCTCCTGGATAACTTCTGCTTTCAGCCTGGAGCCTCTGCACTGGATTAAATGTGTTGCTGGAGAAACATCAGATCCCTACAACAGCCACTTCTTTTCAAGTGATGTCCAGTGGCTTATAAGAAGGGTAGCTCAGCTACGGCTGCAATATGAGCTAATCAGTAATAAGCCAGTAATTAGCTTTTGCATCAGCTGAGGATATTCTCACTGAGAATTCCAGACTTCTATTAGGTCACACAATGAGGAGCTGGCAACTCCTTATACTCTGAGCTTGGCTTCCAGCAAGCAAGACTGCACATATTTCACAGCTCTGTCAGGCACAGGAAGGTCAGAAAAATTCATAGTCAGGTTGGTTACAAACAGCACGGGGACAGCACTGCATATGAGGATGCCGAGGACTTGGCAAATGGCATTTGTGCCATAATGTCCAGACACCCTGGGACTTATTTTTCTCCACTGGGGGAGGTTCTTGTACAGTCCTTTTTCCAGGCCAGGCAATGTGCTGTTTGTCCTGCCCTGAGCCAGGTTCAGCAGTTTGCTTTGCTTAGTTTATCTCAGCCGACAGCAACACACAGTCTACAAAAAACGAGAGGAAAGTGCCTGGGAAACCAAAAGAAGGGGCTAGAGCTCTTTATTCTTTGGACAGTGGGGATGCACCAACACAGAGAGCCCCCTCAGTCAACAGTTTTCAGTCACCAAGACCTTTTAATTCCATGTACTGACTATTGGACAATTAAGATTACTTAAAACACTTTGATCTCTGCCCTATCTGCAGGACTCTTACATTAGCTGAGCAAGTAACAGTTTTGCCAGCTCAGGCCACCAGTTTTCTGTACATTTTGTGCGAAATGCTCACTCTACAGAGATTTTCCAAAGGAGTGTATAACACTCAGCTGTGCCTACTGTTTGTCTGCTCTTTTCCTTAGCGAATGAAAGGAGAAATGAGGGCAGCCTTAAGGCTTCAATGTATCTTTCTCTCCCAGGCCTGAATGGAAAGCTTTTACATTATGTGTAGTGAAGTTAACTACTGTAACGTTAAGTCAGATGTTCTGAGAGTTCCCACCCACCTCGATAAGACTGTAAGGCTATTTGTTTTATTTGAGATGGGCAGTGCATGGAGATAGGATGGCTGCGGGTCATAAGATAGCAAAGCCTGTCCTATGAGAGAGAGAAGCTGAGCTGCTTAGAACAGGAGGCTCACTGAAGTCTCAAGGAAAGGAGGAGTGTGAAGAAGAAGGAAAAAAAAAACGGAAAAAAAGGGAAAAAAGCAGACAAGCCATGTTATTTGGTGAGCTTTGAAGCAGTTCAGCTATGCCTGTACCAAGAGGAAATGAACATGACTGACCAAAGCAGTTTCAGTGATATTAATAGCTTTGAATAATCAGAGAATTCACCAACTTTCTGAGGAACCAACATGTTCCACTGACCTTGCCCCTAAAGACTTGCATGGCTACTTGAACAATTAATGCCCCATCCAGCAAAGGCTGTGTCCTTAGGAAGGCTTACACCAAAGGCTCTTTTGGAAGTGACTCCTTCAGCGAGCGGCATCCCAGCGGTCAGCACCGAGATTTCTACGATCAGCTCACAATACCGATAACTTTCTCTAACGACAACCCCGCGGCCAAGAAGCAGCACCACCAGGTCCGCAGGGACACCCCAAGGGAGCAGCACCCCGGCACGGCAGCAGCGCCGGCTCCTCGGGCTCCCGCTGCCCCTCCCTGGGGCCGGCCGGGCGCCGGTGCCGCCCGGTGACAGGGGCTCAGAGAGCAGGGCTGGGGAACACCCGGGGAACACCCGAGGGAGCCGGGCCCCAGCCGGGCCCGCCCGCCCCGGGCACCCCCGCCCGGCACCGCCCCAGGAGACTCCGCCGCGCCCCCAGCCCCAGCCGCGCCCCCGGCCCCCCGCACTCACTGTACTGCGCGATGCGCTGCACGTTGGCGCTGCATGTCTGGACGATGGCGCTGAAGTCCCGCGGCGGGCCGGGCGCGGAGCCCCGCGGCTCCAGCGGCCCCAGCGACATGGCCGGGCCGAGCGAGCGCGGCCGCCCCGCCGCCAGCACCGCCAGCGCCTGCGCGCACCCCGCGCCTGCGCCATGGCGGGCCGGGCTGAGGGAGGGCAGGGAGAAGGGAGGGCAGGGAGAAGGGAGGGCAGGAAGGGGTGAAGGGCGGGGTGGCGGAGTCACTGAATCCCCGGGAGTGGAGGAGACCCTCGGCTTCCCTCCAGTCCCACCGCCCGCCCGGCGCCGCCGCTGTAACCCCTGAGCCGCTGCCCCGCACCGCCCAGCGCCTCCCGAACCCCTCCAGGGACGGTGACTTCGCCACCTCCCCGGGCAGCCTTGCCCATCCCTGACCGCCCCAACAGTGAAAACGCGTTTGTAATGTCTGAGTCTGCCCCGTTTTAGCTTAGGGCCATTTCCTCTGGTGCTCTCACAGCAGGCACGGCAGAACAGACCGGCCCCCCCCCCACCCCAGCCTCATGTCAGGGGTTGTGGAGGGCGATGAGGTCCCCCCTGAGCCTCCCCCACAGCAAACCAACCCAGCTCCCTCAGCCCTTCCTTGTGTTTCTAGACCTTTCCCGAGCCTTGCTGCCCTTCCCTGGACACGCTCAAGCCCCTCAATGTCCCTTTTGAAGTGAGGGGCCCAGAACTGAACTCTGGTGCCTCAGCAGTGCCCGGTACAGGGGATCAGTCGCTCCCATCCTCAATACAGGCAGATCAGCCCAGCCCAGGTGAGGGTGGTGTGGCAGCCAGTAACAATGCTTTCAAATAATGCTTTCAAATCAAGAGCAAAGAAGCTTAAGTGAACAATCCATTTCTGCTCCCTGCTGCAGAAGCTGTAGTATTTTAAGTAACTAAAGTACATCTAATCTTTAAATAAAAAATCTGAGGTCATGCCATGTAGAAACTAAAGAAGTCAGTGTATATGTGATTAAAATATAGAGTGTAAATATTTCTTTGAGAAGTGCTTGATACAACAACAAACTTCTAATTCCAGAAGTGTCCACAACAGGTCAAAATTATGGTAAATATGAAGCAAGGCCATGGATGAAACTTGTATAGAAGAGAAGAGAAGGCTCCAGGGTGACTTTGTTGTGGCCTTCCAGTGCCTAAAGAGGCTCCACAAGAACAGCAGAGGGACTTTGGACAAGGACATGGAGAGATAGGGCAGGAAGGAATGGCTTCCCACTGCCAGAGGGCAAGGTTAGATGGAATATTGGGAAGAAATTGTTCCCTGTGAGGGTGGGCAGGCCCTGGCCCAGGTTGCCCAGAGAAGCTGTGGCTGCCCCTGGATCCCTGGAAGTGTCCAAGGCCAGGTTGGATGGGGCTTGGAGCAACCTGAGCTAGTGGAAGATGTGCCTGCCCATGACAGGGGGTGGAACGAGGTTCCTTCCAACCCAAACCATTCTGTGATTCTTTAAATAGATATTTATTCAACTTAATGCATGTGAGCAGTTTGTTGAAGTTGGTTTGACCTTGCTTGCTTGAAGCAGCCTGGAGGCAAATATTTGCAGGTCCCAAACTGTTAAAACACTTGTTCACAGTCATCAAATCTTTGGTGAGCACAAACAGGGCTTCTGACAAAGAAGACCAGGAGTGGAGAAGGCACCATTTGCAACAGAAACTATTTTGAAATAGAATGTAGTAAATTCCAAAAAACAGTGCTACACATTTTAATGATGCACTACTTTTTACTCTGTTTAAGACATTAACAAACTAGAACCTGCATTAACAAACTGGAACTTGCTTTTCAGCTTCATAAGTATTCTAGGAGAAATAACCCTCATGTCTCAAATATTATATTTCTGAACAAGGCTTTGTAAAATAAATGTAAGTAAAGCAAACATATGGTGGTGTTGGACTGCAGGAGCAAATAATTTGGACTCTTACGTACACTAAATAAGCAAACCATTGTCAGGAGATGAAAATATACTTTAAAGAAAAGAAGCAGCAATTTAAAAGGGTTTTCTTTGTCTCTTGACAGAAGGCTACTGTGAAAATCCAGATCCCTGTCTTGGTTGCATTGAATTCATGTTTCCTGAAGATCTGCAATGAAGCTGGAGTTGTTTGGCTGCAGGTGGATGTACAATATGTTCTCCTGGGTGAGCTGTTCCTGTGAAAGACTGTCCATGTTAGTGTGGCATTGTTTGTGGTGATAAAATCCCACACTCCCTCCCTTTGAAGAATAACAACACTCTCATCTGAGACAGGAGGAGATATTTTTCTTTCTCTTTTGTTCTGCGTTTTCAGTGTCAGCTCAGAGGAGGTCACTTGAAGATGGACATGCTTTACTGTAGAAGTTTCTGGCCTGATAATTTACACACAACAGTGCCTGGTTGAACAGTGCCAGTGTCTTCTCTAGATGCTTTTGTGCCATGGGAGTTGGGGTTTGATGAGGTTTTTTTTGGGAAGACCAATGAAAATATTGATTCCAGGAAATGTCTGGGTCATGATTTCACTGCACATATTGACTGACCCATGGGGGAGTAAGGGAGATCAGCTCAATCTTCATGCTGGCTATTTCCCACTCTACACACATCCATCACCATCAGGGATAACTGTTAGACTGCAAAATCAATCTGTGTTTGTCCCTGGATCCTCCAGCTCCAGTTCTGTCCATCCCTGTAGAAAAAGTAAAGCTTGGTTGTAAGAAAAAAGTTTACAGTGGTTTTAAGTTGGGGAATTTATTCAGTGTTGGAAGAATCAATTCTTTAAATGCAGAATTGCCCATGTCTTCTTTCTCACACTTCAGTGAAATGGGTCCAGCTAAGAAGAAATGAATCCTGCAGAACAAATGAGCGGTAGAAGAAGAAGGATGACTCCCAGATCACAGGGATCACCTCTCAGGTGTAAGGCAGCTTGTGGCACACCCAGTGCAGGGTGATGTGCAAGTCCTTCATCTGTGCTCGCTGCTTCACAATCCCTTTGGGATTGCACCTGCACTGCCCTTCTGCCAACAGACTCAGCAGTGGGAATCCATCCTGCTTTCCAGATGCACCTAAAAAAATCCCCAGCCCTCCAAGAGAGGTTAGTCCTTCCTCAGTGGTGGAATTCTCCCCCAGGAAACTGTCATGGGGAGCAACAGAGAGTGACAGTGAGAGCAAAACTTGTGAGGCCAGGAAGGATAGGCTGGATCACACACCTGTGAGGCCAGGAAGGATAGGCTGGATCACACACCTGTGAGGCCAGGAAGGATAGGCTGGATCACACACCTGTGAGGCCAGGAAGGATAGGCTGGATCACACACCTGTGAGGCCAGGAAGGATAGGCTGGATCGCACACGTGTGAGATGAGGAGGGATAGGCTGGATCACACATAGCTGTCTGTGCTGTGTTACCATAACAGGAGTCACCAGCTTGCATGCTGCTGGCATGACTTTGGGATCTTTCTTCTTCATCAGCTAAATCCAATCATGGAAGACAACAACTAGCAGGTCCAGAATGCCTGTAATGCCTATTCATGACAGTCTTCAAAGAACTTCACAGAGATAAATACAATCTGGAGTGATCCCTGGAGAGGCAAACAGGATATGCCTGCTTGGTTGAATGCACTACAGACCTTTCAGTTCAAAGGAAGATTTGGAAGCACAGAGAAGGAAACTGCAAGTAAAGCAGCACTGTGGGTCACCACAATCCAGGGGATGCCTGGAAGGCTGGCAAGCTGCAGTTCTGCCTGCTGGTGTTGGTCTGAGACCACAGATGTGCATTCCTAGTGAACACAGCAATGTTTGGCAGGCAAGAAGGTGTTGAAAGCGTTGCCTGTCAGGATCATTTCTTCTCTGGAGGTACTTTTGACATAATTGACACTTACTGCTCGCAGTCAGCAGTGGGAAGCAGTGCACTGCCAGGTGGAAGTGCTCTCTGTCTGGTCATAAAGGCTGATCATGGAGAGCCTGAAATCTGAGAAATAAAAAATACTGGTGCTGGGAAGTCCTGGAAACCCCCTTAGGCATCATGCACTCACTCCTGCTTGGGTATGCTACCTGAGTATTTTCTGTGTTTCTGCTGTGTTTTCAAATGACATGCCCTATTTGTACCCCTCCGAGTTAGAGGATCCCCTGACCAGGCAGGATGAAAAGAGCAGCTCTGGAGCTCTACAGAACAGTTCCTCTCCAGGATCCCACGCTTTGATAGCAGCCACAGATGCCAGGACACTGGTGATGATGTGTCTGATACGTGGTGCATGGTGGCACAGAGGAGTGTCTCTGTCAAGACCTGACAAACTGCCCTAATTTCCTGTAGTGCCTCAAAATCCTTGGGAAGTCTAGACACAGGCCTTGGGAAGGAAGTAACCTGTAGGCTGTGTGGACAACCCAGGAGATTGGAGCTGTCAGCAGAGCTACCTGTGTACCAGACAGAGTCCTGTGCACTCACCCAGGCCTCACTTCCCCTCCAGCAACCTCATGGTGTGGCTTGGAGAGATCTCTGTGTTCCTGCTGTGCTTACAGCAACAACCTGGCTCCACACCAGGCAGAAATTATGCTGTGACTGATTTCAGGAGAGGCCACAACAGTGTTGATCAGGAAGGCAAAGGCTCTGAGGAACTGAGAATGTGAGTGAGATCATTTGGGCATTTTCCCACTCTTCAGGAAAAACTCCTTGCTCACTGGGCATTAATTTGCTGTTTTATTTTCCAGTGATCAGGCACTATAATCAGAGACAGCCTGTGTGCTGGTGGGCTGCAAGGTGCTGAATGTCCTAAATGGTTTCAAAATAAGGCCTAAAGATTGTACCTGGCAACAGCAAACCAGGGACAAGGCCCAGATTTTCCATAGTCAGCCAGTGAAAAGCAGGCAATGATGTGATACAGTGGAGACAGGACAAGCCAAAAACATTTTCTTTCAAATCACAGTTGACTGTTAAAGTCAGTGAAGTTCCTAGTACTGAGAAACCTTGCACTCACTGGACAACAACACTCACTGCAGCAGGGAGGTGGGAGATACCTGAGTGCCCGGGGCAGCGTGTAGTCCTGGTGCAGTGCACCTGTCTCTGCAGAGCTCCAGCCCTGGGGCTGGGAAGCAGGTAGGACAATGGACTGGAAAAACTGTCAACAGCAAGTTTTTGAGC